ATTTTTAGAGGCAGCTACTAATTTGGACTAGTTAGCGTCTTTTTCACCAGATAAGAATATGAACCAAGGGTTACATTTGGAACTGCAATGGAAATTTGTTCTGTTAATTTGGCTTGAGATGTTAGTATTCTGACCATTTGGCAGTTCATGAGTGATATTTTTCGTTTTCTATTATGAATTCTTCTTGGTCGGTGTATTTTTCCTTTCAAATGATGTTAGGTGGGATTTGTTCAAAGTCTACAACTCTATGCGTATCCAAATTTACTCTTAAGATTAAAACCTCATTGTAGCAGTTGTGTCAATTAAGGTTGAGGTGAAACTTCCGGGTGACATCTTGAATCAAGTAAAGCTCAGTTGAACTCGGGATATATCTAAAAATATGTATAGGATCCATGTCTTATGTTAGTGATGATGCTAACATGTAATATGTACACAATGAATTAGGACATAATAGATTGTATTTCGATTCAATGTCGAAAATCTGCCGCCTGTATAATGTTATTGTTTTCTTTAATTCCATTTACTTAATAAGTGGGATGAGCTCTTAAATTTTATATCTGATTTGCAATTGAACCAATTGCAAGCTTATGTTAAATTCCATGGTGATGGATTCATATTTGTACTTCGGTAAGGAATCATAAAACTATCTGGTTTAAATTGGACATCAAGTTAGATACTCCTTTATTCTGTTCCTAATGCATGTTTATCTCTATTTCTTGGATTTATCATTTTGAACAATCTAGCCTTAGTTTTTAGTACCCTTAGATAAGTTTGAGCTAGTGTTGATAGGATTCTTCGGACTCAAGCTTGAAGTGAATTAGTCTGTCATTGTGTCTCCTCCTCTATGTTGAAGCCATATTTCTATTTCGCTTTTAAATTGTCAACCAAGAGTCGTCGTTTCATAAAATAATATCTGATATATCTGTCTTATCTGTGCATCAGGAGACAGCTATAATTCTTGGCTTTTATTCTTCCCAAGCGCTGAAGAAATATGGTATATACTCACTTTTATTTTATGAATTTTGCATTGTCAATGCGTTGAAATGTCATGAAATGGAACTGTCTCATAATTCTCTTATATTTCTTTCTAGTGATAAATTGTATATTCATCATATAGAACTCTGTATCTGGTGTTTATATTTAATGAAAATTTGAAGTTCTACTTGTGATGATTATCATGTTCTGACCAGACATGAAGAAGAAGTCTATGAGACCTACGTGGTTGGTACAGATATTTTTTAACAAATATGGGCAGCATGACTACAGAAATGAGCATTGCTTCTAGAGTTTAGCTTGTAGAGATAAGAAACAAAAAACTCACACTATCTAATATGATCCTTTTATTTCTTAATCAAACTTCTTTTTATCACTCATTGACGAATCTATTACTGCCATTAACAAAATTAGAAATGTCGTCTTCATTCTGCTCTTAGTTCGTAAAAAGCATAGTTTAGGTCCCTACTCTGAGAAAAAGCATTCGAGAAACGAAAACATAAATTTACAGAAAAAATAATTGTTTGAATATTTCACATCTTGATTGTATTGAGCATGGCAACTTATGTCATGGTCTGCTTTTTGCTCATACCATGCTCTCATTTCAATAATTAATATTATCCAAAGCAGATTGTGGTTATTTGATCTGCTGGCCTTCCCTCATCTTATAGATACTCATCAATTGTGTTGGATTCAACTTGTTATAATGGAAATTCTTAAATAGGGTTGTGGATTGATTTTGATTTCTTAGGGTTTATGACCTTGCTCTAATTCAAACCCTTTTATATTTGAGGAAGTTGAATTAGCCAGACATGCAGATTGGTCGGAACTAATGCTCTTTTTCACCCAGTTTAATGGTTGAATCTGAGCATTAACTTTTGTTTATAAGCAGACGCATGTGCACATATATGTAAGACTTGCATCCATGTGCACGCACGCTCAAGAATTAGATAAAGAAAAAGACCAGAGATGTCAAAGTATAATAAGGTCCACTTTAAACATTAAAAGGATAAGAGTAAAGCAACATGTTTGGAGTTTGAAAATATGAATTTTTTAAAAAAATTTGTACCATAACTTTGTATGAAATTTTTTGTATCAAGTAAAATTTGTACGAAATAATAGATGTTGTATTTTGTTATCTTATTTCAAGAGATTAAATATTCTTCATGTAATAGGACTAAAAAATAAAATAAAATAAAATTTGGAGATATATTTTATAACAACACTACTAAAAATTTTAAACATTATCATGAGAAATCAATATAGCCTTGGATTTTAAGATAAAATTAGTACCTATATATTTTCAAAATTGTGAAGTAAATTTAAAATAGACATAAATTTGGAATTTTAATATTATCTCAATATTTTAGTATTGTTTCGAGGTTCTATAACAATAATGAGATCTTAGAGTTATTTTACGATATAAAATAATTTGCGCAATCTAAAGCTACTAATTCAATTATATATATATATATATATGTGACTCTAAACAAGATTTTAAATTAACAGGAACATCTTCTACACCCTAACATTATCTTAAAACTTTAAAATTATGCTATAATTAGAAGTAAGCTAAGTTCTAAGAACTGCTCAAAGACTCTAATATTATTTGTAATTAAGTTATATTTTTTTAAAAATAACTAATACAGATAGTAATATATAATTTATCTACAGAAAATACTAAATAAAAGAATGGTGAATCTAATTTACTTATAGGGTTTGTAATATTACAAACGCTAAATTAGGTTACGTGTGGAACAACTGAAATTGTTTCTCTTTTGTAAAATTAATTTGAATTTATTTTTTCACTTCTTCTTAATACATATTAATTAAGTAAATTAAATTTATTTAAAACATTAAAAATTCATTTTTAAATTATAATAATTTGAATAAAATTTAAATACGTTGTTTTACTATTATTCAATATTTATTTAATTGTATATGTTTTTATAATTTGAACGTAAATCCATCATATTTTTTAAAAAAATTTACGAGAACATATAATTTATTTGTTGTTACCATATATTGTACGTAGCCTTGTATCGAGGGAAGAAAAGTAGTTGTTTATTATTATTATTTCTTTAATTAGAAGGATGAAATTTTAAATTATAAGGATTTGACGAAGGGTTCAAACGGTGAGGAGGCAGTATAGCTTCTGGCTCTTCAAAATTTAGATAAAAACAATGAGACGTCTGATCTCATCGTCGGCGCCTCTTGAATTGGCGTCTACCTTCTCTAACAAAAATAATAAGACGCCATTCTCACCTTCCTCCTTCTTCTTCTTCTTGAAAATATATATATATATATATATATATACATATAAAATGCGAGAAGAACAATAAGAAGAAGATGATGACGAGGATGATGATGCTGATGTTTTAATGAATCTAAAAACTAAACTCACCCGCATCTGATCTCCAACTCATCATTACAGAATCAAATACTTACTCCTCAGTATCCCAATATTACTTTTAAACTTTAAAACAAGTGGGTGAAGACACTGATGCTTTAAAATAATCTTATAAGGTAGACCCATTTGAAATCTCCACCACAATGCCAGCACCAAGAAAAGAGATTCTGGGCCATACCCATGATTAAATATTCGCCAAGTATAGCAACAAATATATATACACACACACACACACACATATATATTGATTTGTTTAAGATTGAGGGAGTAGAAGGACAAAATTATATGAAATGATGTTTTCCATTATTACGTCACCTTCTCTCCTTTTGTGAATAGATTGAGTCACCCGAGTAGCGTTTTCTCTCTTTTCGTACCTTCATGGACTTGTGAAAGGTTACTCTCTCTCTTTCACCACTCTCTTCTTCTCATAACCTGTCTCTTTCTCCTCATTTATAAATACCCCTCTATTCACATCATTACCATTAATACACACCTTGTAAATCACTCTGTAGATATAACCCATCAATCATTCTTCTTCCTCTCCCCCCCCCCCCACCCCTCCCCCTCTCTCTCTAGATATATATGCATGTAAAACAAACTTTTCTGGGTTTGGGTTTATAGTTAATTAATTAACCAGAGAGCAATTAAGGAAGGAGAATTTCAGGGGAAATAGTTAGAAGGAGTTAAGATGGGTGAAGGTGGTAATGATTATTCATGGGGAGAAATGGGAATGTTCACTATGATGGTGATGACAGAAGGTGCGACCATAGCTTTGACAATTATGGCGAAGACGATAATGACGAGAGGGTTGAGTCCTTTTGTGTTTATTGCTTACACGAACGCTCTTGGCTCTATCCTTCTTCTTCCTTACTCCTTCTTCTTCCACAGGGAAAGGTACTAGTCTCCTCTCTCTCCATCCCGTTCCCTCGTTAACCGTCGTTCGTCTTCTTCTCATCACCTTTCTTATATGTTGATGTATTGTTGTGGAGGAGGAACTATATATATGTATGTGTGTGTGTGTGTATTAATTTTAATTATTCTTTTGGTTTAATATTCAGGCCACGACAGCCAATTTTCACCCGTCAACTTCTTCTTCGCTGCTTCTTGATGGGGTTTACAGGGTGTGTATATATACACTCCTTTTTCTCTTTTCATTTCCTTATTTCCTGTTCTCTCTCTTTCTATATATATATATATATGTATATCTATGTATTTATATAACAATTGTTGATTATGGGATGGATATATTGTGCTTAATCTCTCGCTCTAAAAAGTTACATATATGGTAATCTAAAATTTTGCGTGACACTCGCAATTTCTGAGGTGACAAGAGCATCATGATCACGGCCTTGTTCTAGAGCCCTAAGTAACATAATTAATCATACTAATCCTACTAATATTAATCTCCAATCTCTCCTATTAGGAGGATAGCTCATTATCTGCCGCAAGTGCTGTATATTGCAAAAGGCTGTAAGCATGTATACATACATATGACTATAACAGACACATATATACATGCTTTCTTACATAGAGTATGTTCATTATCATACAATATACAAATGAAATGTATATGTTTGCATATGCCTAATTATAACGTACGTACATTATGCGTATATATATATATATGTATACATATATTGTAATATATATATGTGTATGTATATATGGATATAGTGAGATGCGTTTCTGTGTCTACACATACACATACATATCTAGAAGAATTTTCTTCTTTTTGCCATAAATCAAGGCTTTTATCCTTTACAACTTTTTGCTCCAAAGCGAAGTACAAATCTATACATCACGATTTGATTTCTTTATTTTATATATATATATATATATATAAATATATATTCTTTTACTCAAAATAATATATTGATTTCTTTGAATGTTAAACCTTTTTCTTAATGTCTTACCATCTTCAGATATCTTTGCCAATCACAGTAATAAAGCAGACCTCTACTTCTTAAATTCCTGATCTCAAAAAATAAAAGAAGAAGAAAATCTTAAAGTCCTACATGATTTTTTCTAAAAAAGTTATGCATAATTTCGTATTTTGTGGAATAGCGGGGCAACTGACTTCAAAAAATCAAATATAAATTATTTCTGTATAATCTCATAAATACTTATACTTACACCTGAACTAACTATTTTTTTTTTCTTGTATATATATATATATATATATTTGTGGTTTGACATTTTGTACAATTAAAGTGTATATATATATATTTTTCTTTTTGGCTTTGTTATATTTTCACTACCTCAATTTATTATAAAAATCTTAAACTGCTGAAATCTTGAAAAACTCTTTCAAAATATCAAATTAACAGTGATGTGATATCATCATCTACCTGGACATAAATCTAGCTATTATATCACCATCGCAAAAAATTTGATTAAGACCAAGCTAGAAAATTATATGTCAGAATATATATGTATATAATTATTTTACACAGAGTAATTTTCTCTTTAAAAAAATCTCAGAACGTATAGATTTGATTGATCTTGCATGTATTCGTTTGGCCTAAGAATAATAAAAAAAAAAAAAACTAAAAAAATCTATAAAAAAAAAGATATTATTACTATTAAAAAAAACAAAAGACAATTTCCGGGCCTGATCTAGTATGGGCCTTGGGCAATAAGAACTGAAGTTAACTTAAAACTGCTAATTAAATGACCCCCATACTTGTTCTTCAGAGCAAGTTTTTGATGTTCTCGGCTGATAACTTTTTATTAAAAAGCAATTAAAAAAATTTATGAATTGTTCTTATGGTGTTCTTACTTTTCCTGCTTGGGTGAAATTTGTAGGATTTTTCTTTCCCAAAACCTTGCATTTGTTGGGCTGAGCTACAGTTCGCCGATTGTTGTTTGTGCAATGGGTCTGATGATTCCTGCTTTTTCCTTTTTGCTCTCTGTTGCTCTCAGGTTTTTTCTTCTTCACCTTCAACAACTCTCTTCCCCATTTTTTTTGTAACCTCAATTTCATAATTAAGGAACTGAGTCAAACAAATTGTCCTTTTTTTTTTCTTTTTTTTTTTCGATTTCCGAACTTTGCAGGAAAACAGAACTAGATTTTAGAAGGTCCAGTACCAGAGCCAAAATTACAGGCACTTTGGTTTCATTTGGAGGAGCTCTCGTAGTAGAACTCTACAAGGGTCCATTCATTCGTAAATCTTCATCTTCTACTCCTTCCCTTCAATTCATTCCTCAACTCTTTGTTTATTACAAACCACAAGACAATTGGGTTCTTGGTGGCATTTTACTCGCCGCTGCTTCTCTCTGTGTTTCAATATGGAACATTATACAGGTATATACTATGTACATACATATAAATATTATATTAAATTTGATTTTCCGGGTGTTATTCGTATGCTAAAATGTAATCTTTATTTGGGTTTTGATCAGCTGGGGACTGTGAAAAAATACCCTCAAGTCATGAAAGTTGCCTCTTTTTATAGCTTAGCTGGGAGCATTCAGTGTGTTATGTTCTCTTTGTTCATGGAGAGAGACCCAAGTGCCTGGAAACTCAACCTTAATTTGGATCTGTTTATCATTGTTTTGACGGTAAGTTATCAAAAATTGAATTTTTCATGCAATGATTTAAATACCCACATGATGAAATATTTTATATGTGTGTTTATACAGGCAATATATGTAAGTATAGTGCGGAGCAGTATTCATGTATCCTGCACAAGAAAGAAAGGCCCTTTTTATGTGCCTTTGTTCAAGCCATTTGGGATTGTTTTTGCAACCACTTTTGGTGTTAGCTTCTTTACAAATAGTCTTCATTATGGAAGGTAAGATATATCAAGAAAGAGTTTTACTTTACCCACTTCTTTTATTTTTATTTGAATTAATTAGAACTGAGGTTGTTTTTTATGTGCAGTGTTCTAGGAGCAATTATAGCTGGGATGGGTTATTATATTGTGATGTTAGGGCAGATTAGGGAAGTCGAAGCACAAAAAGAAGGTGATGTTGAAGGGGTTAAGTCAATTTTTCCAGAGAAAGTTCCTCTCTTACAAGAAGATTCTCAAGTCTGATGTTGGAATTATTCAAGCTTTTCTTTTTAGTCTGAATAAATTTGTAAAAATCTTGAAGAAAATCCCCATTGCAGAGGCTTCTCTACATGAGGTTTTTTTTTTTTTTTTGAATCCCTCTTTTTCACTTTCTTAAGGTTATTTGTTTAAGAAAGTTGTTTTCAGTTGTGAGAATCATTGTACATCGCTTCTGTGAAATTGAATGGCTATTATCTTGATCAAACCATAATATTATTTAGTAACATTTACATACACACATATATGTATCTGAGTAAATCACTATATTGCAACACGAATAGGTACGATAAAAACTACAAAGCATGAACTTAACATGAAAGACAAATGGGTGCAAGTAGATTATCCAGTACTGCCTTATTCTAGAACAGGAGATTAAGGGATTAAATACAACACACAACTCTTGAAGTCCCTTATTTTAATTTGTAGATTAGACTACCTTAGTGATATTATTCATCTTGTTCAGATCATAAAGTTTAAAACTTTTGAATGCCTGCATCAATCTCCTGGAAGTTTCTGGATGCAAAATCTTTAATGGCGTGTGGATCAGGAATCTCATCGCTTGTCTTCTCAAACTTGGCAGACCACTTAGCCAATGTAACATCTCCTTTTGGAAAAACACTTATGCTTCCCTCAAATTCTTTGTAGTATTTCAATAGATCTCCATCGATCACCCGATAAACATAAATCTTCTTTTCTTCATCCACTGCCTCGATTCTCTCTTTCGATTTTTTTACCAGCGGAGAACCTATAATTAACATTTACAACATTACTATTATTATAAAAAATTTAACAAAATTTATATGAAAGATGAAAATGTCTTAAAATCACTCTGAAGGTCAATTATGGTTCGATTAGATTAAAGAAAACAACTTGTTAATTATATATAAAAAAAAAAAAAACAAAATTTTAACGAAATAACATCTCAGTCAAGAATAAATTACTTCACCTTCACCATAAGTAAAGAGACGAACCGAGCCAGGGGCTTTCCCATCTCCTTCCAGAACTTCAATGCTTTTATAATCATGAGGGAAGTTTTTAGGGAAAAACTCAGTTGAATCTCTTATTCTCTTCCAGAACTCATCTGGGTTTGATTTGATCTCAACCTCCACCTCAAGAGTGCCACTCAAAGCCATTATTGTCTAAGATATTTCTACCTCAAAAACCAATGAGAGAAAATCAGTGATCCATTTTGGAGCTCCATTGGCATTTTATATATGTATATGTGTATAGCAGTAAAGATATTTGTTTTCAGCTTCCATACATTATCGTCAACTGTCCTTACAGGCATATGGGCAAACATTCAATGAAAATGTAATAAACACCGGTAGTTCAATAACTTTGGTTTCACTAATTTTCAAACAAGTGAGTGAGGCGTATTAACTTCACAATTTTTTCAACCCAAATCAGGATTGACATTGTGGGTATGTCTGAATATACTTAAAGCTAGTAGGTATGGCTGGTGAACCGTACCATTTTTTCATTAAAGAACAGAGTTTCTGGATACATGTTTTATGGGGTCAAATATCTAATGCATATATATATATATATGCATATTTGCATAATAATAAAATTCTAAAATTTTCTAACTCCAATATGATTTCTATACATTCTCTTTATAATTATGTAATTTTATGGGCGAAAATGAAAAAAGTTGAATGATACTTTCATGTAAATACAAAACTCCCGTTTTGTTGAAATCAACAAAATACCAACTGTAAAATTGTAATATATTCATAACACATAATTGAAAATATAAAATAATTTAATATAATTTATTTATATTTTAAAATTATATTTCATGTTGAATATTAAATTTAAAACATAATTAATAATAAATTTTTAAATTAAAATTATTTAAAAATACAAATAATTTATGCATATTTATAATAAAATTGATATTTACTATTCAACTCTTTATTCTAAGAAATACGCGAACAAATTGATTAATATCTGTCTAAATTCTCTCAATTTTTTTTGTGTGTGGCTAATCTTTTTTAGCTCTTCTCTTCACCAATTTTTTGCAATCCACACGCGCACACACACATTTATATAGGTGATCATGTCCTTTTTGACTTCTTCCTGTAGACGTCAAAATCAATTTAGACTTATCTACTTTTTTTTTAACACCCAATTATATACATATATATCTCAAATATTATAGTCAATGTTTTTTTCTTTCATTCAACTATTATAGTCAATGTCTTAATTCAGTCGTTATAATAAATGACAACATAAAATTTAAATTTACTATTAAAGTTGACAGATTCCATCTTGATCAATTATTAATTTTATAAGTATTTAATTTGTAACGGCCCCGGAAATTTAAAATGAAATGAGTGTATTAAAAATGTCAATGCGGAAGCGAAGCCAAAATTCGATTAACATCCCTTACACGAAAACCAAAAACGTACTTAAAATATAAAATGTTAAACTAACTAAAAGAGAAACTCAAAAACAAAGTTATGAGTATGACTACAGAGTCTCTAGGCATCCCTTTCGTCATCCTCATGCGGAACGGGCTCGGGAACCATGTCTTCCTGATCTGAAATGGTTAAATAAGGAGTGAGCTACACTAGCCCAGTAAGAACATCACGATATCTCACCGTCACGGAGGTAAAGGTGGGTAGAAAACACAAAGGACCCATGGAGCATGTTTTACAACAAATCCTTTTATTTATGATAAAACCTTTACCATCCACTTACCTCGGTGGAATTTATGAAAACAATATAAGAAAAACAATAACATTATCATAATCATGGAATAATATAAGCTGTAAAACATAACACTTATCACGCCTCTTGTAATTCAATCATTATACAACATATCTTTTTCTCATTTACCAGCCTACTAGTATCCATGGGGGTCCATAGGGGTCCCGCTACCCGTTAACCTTTAACATTCATAATCAGTTTCCAGGGCCGTCCCCATACCCCGTCCGGTATGGGCGCCAAAACCATAAACCTCAATACCCCGTCCGGTATGAGGGTGAAACGGGCCGTCCCCATACCCCGTCCGGTATGGGCGCTAAAACCATAAGATCTCCATACCCCGTCCGGCATGTGAGACCACAATCCCGGTAAGGTTCCCTACGGACCCGGTCCGTCCGCCATCTCCCAGGATATCTAGTCAGGCTGACCCCCATAATACAATTATCAGTCTACACAATCTTTCATTTTCCTTTTTCTCAGTCAGCATCATCAATTCATATTTAAACAAGCAAATCGTAATTCATGCCAAACAGACAACATACAGTCTCAGTTTTTCAGTCATTCAACTCATAATTAATAAAAACGTAGTATATGCACACAAATCTGTAAAATGAACACATCAAACCTCATTTTGCATTTAAAGCTGTAAACAGGCCAAATAACAGTAAATCACCAATCACATTAGACTCGGGCTCCATTAGCCACCTTAAGCAATTTCACACATTCGTTAATTCAAGAAATACCGTTTTATCATTTTGAACTTTAATACCGTGATAGGAAATAGGGTGAGGGGTCCTTACTTGTTTTCGGGATTCGAATACGATTCACAGTGCGCCTACGGGCTGTCCCTAATTTTCCCTGAATTTTTCCCGGGGAACTGAAACGCACTACTGGTACCTGCACGTGTTCCAAAAAAAATCCCAAATTAGGCCCAGGGCCCCTTTCGACCCAAATCGCAACTCCGGCATGGCGGCTCCGCCGTGCTCCGGCGACGGCGCCGTCGCTGGTCTTTGATAGTGTTTTCTGGCCAATTGGCTGGTGGTTTGGCTCCGATTTAGCCACAGGTGGGTTCGTCATCAAAAACCGAGCCAAGAAAAGAAATTTTACCTCGTTTGGAGGCCTGAAGGTGCTCCGGTACAGCGGCGGGTGGCGGCGGTCGGTTCTCCGGTGGCTGGGTTGTCTTCTCTGCCGAGGACTCTGGCGGCTAGGGTTTGGGGTTGGGTGTGGATGAGATTATTTATAACCCTCCCCTTTTAATCTGAGCCGTCCATCATGATTTAATCTGGGCCGTCCGATCGCGATTAAATTAGAAATAAATCTAGATTGTCTATCGCGATGCGATCTGGGCCGTCCATGCGTGATTCAATCTGGGTCGTCC